TAACTGACTGAGGGAACACAACAGTTAAAGCTTACTAGCTGACTAGGGAGATACAATAGTCTACACTTAACTAACTGACTGAGGGAACACAACAGTTAAAGCTTACTACCTGGGGAGATACAATAGTTTATACAATGTACTTAATTTGTTGACTTGGGATATAGAACAGTTTAAAGGTCACTAACTAACTGTGGAGACAGTTGCTGATTAGTAATGAAGTATGATATTACCTGAAAGTTGATGTCCAGCTTCATGTTGTAGTCCCAGATCTTGATGACCTTGTCCCCTCCTGTTGCTAGGTGACGGCCATTACTGGTGACTGCCACAGTAGAACAGCCTGTCCTGTGGATGTTGGCCACCTGTGACATAAAATTGTACAGGCTGCAGGACAGGAATTTTTTTATGTTACAATCTCAAGATACTCCTAATAAACTCCAAAATCGTCTCTCATCTAAAGGTTTCTCATGGGTCCATATACGTCCAGACAATGTGACAACCAGGACCAGCTACATACCACAATTTTGGGATGTAAAATATTGCATCCTGAACATGCTGTTTTTTGTCTCAACACAGTGTCATTCTGTATTGCACATCCTGGGATGCTTTCGTTTACATCCCAAACTCTGATTAGTATGACGCTAGTCATTCATGTGTGACTTTGATGGCTCGAGACTTTATGATTCTCTAGTTGTTGATGTTTGAAGTTTTCACATGTGTTTGACCCATAACCTTGAAAGTAAGTCAAGGTTACTGCTATAAAGAAATTTAATATCATTCCATCCCAGGTTCTAAACGGCCAAACATAAAAAACAAAAAAACAAAATGACTGTACATACCTCAGAAAGCAGACGTCCAGTTCGGGCATCAAACTTGAGTAGTTTGTGACTGGATGTGATGACTATTAGATGCCCAAGACTTAGTGGGGCAAAATGAAGCCTGACAGCAGCGTCTAGTGATGAACGCCCAGCATCTGAGGAATTCAGATTTGTCACGTCTATTCGTACCACCTGTAAGATACATACAATACAGCACATAAAATCATCAAGTTTCCAACAGTCAAGGAAGTCACTTCAGTCATACCTCCCTTCAGTGTTTAAATGACTCAAAAATAAGTAAGATACAAACCTCGTCTAATGACTTGGCATCCACCACACAGACTGTGTACTCTGATGGCCCTATAAACGCCATTCTTCGTCCATCAGCACTGACCGACAAAATGTCTGGGGAATGTCTGGTGCCTCGTGCCACTGTGTTACCCAGAAGACGAAGCAGCTCATACTTCTCAGATGTAGCATCATAGTGTGCCAAAGAGCCAAGGGAACAGGCACTGTACAAAAAGTCTCCGGTGGGAGAGAAAGCAAGGCCTGTGATCTTTCCTCTGTGTTGTCTGTAAATTACACAAAAACTCTTAAAAAATTGTTATTGTTTATAAGTTTGTGTTTAATTTTCTAAGCAGTGTGTAACAAAATCCATCAAAATCAAATGAATACTTCTCTTTATTTAGATTAAAGTCATAAAAACTATTATTATAACTAGAACACTGTCTAGGGGACTATTACAGCTCCTTTGTCTTGTAGAATAAATCAGCAGAGATTAACCCCTGGGTGGAGAACATGATTGTGAAGATGTTTATTACCTGTGTTCTGCCATCATACTGGTGGTCTGCACATTAAACACTCTGACTACACCACTTTCAAATCCACAGGCAAATATCTGTCGTGACGGGTGGTAATGAATGATACAGGGGCACTCCTCGGGTGCACTGAAGTCATACAGCTGTAAATATAACGCCACATCATTTGCTACTATTGTAATTTACAGGAGTCCTATCTTGACCTAAAATCTAATCTAAATTGGACACTGTCATTAAATCTGAGTTACGTAGAAATTTCTCCAACAACAATACATAGGATGATATGAGATAGAAGATGACCAGTGGGTTAGGCCATACCTGCTGTAGGGTTTCTGACTCCCACACACGGATCGAGTGATCCTCTGACACGGTGGCCATGTGTTTCCTGTAGGGGTCCACTGCCACATCAGCAATACGCCCGGTGTGTGACCTCATCACTGTGGTGTAGGCCCGTGTGGAGATGTCCAGGGTCCCCAAAGTGCCCTAAAACAAGGTAAACATACTCAACCATGACACACCACAGCTAATGTTCATACAGATATGACTACATCTCTATAGTTGTAACAAACATGACCACATCTATATTATTGTAACAAACATGATTATATCCTTGCAGCTGTAAAGTTCATACAGATATGACAACATCTCTATGGTTGTAACAAACATGAATATATCCCTGCAGCTGTAAAGTTCATACAGATATGACTACATCTCTATAGTTGTAACAAACATGACTACATCTCTATAGTTGTATTACACTTGACTATATCCCTACAGCTGTAAAGTTCATACAGATATGACTACATCTCTATAGTTGTAACAAACATGACAACATCCATCTCTATAGTTGTAACAAACATGACTATAACCCTACAGCTGAAAAGTTCGTACAGACACGACAACATCTCTATAGTTGTAACAAACATGACTATAACCCTACAGCTGAAAAGTTCGTACAGACACGACAACATCTCTATAGTTGTAACAAACATGACAACATCTCTATAGTTGTAACAAACTTGACGATATCCCTACAGCTGTAAAGTTCATACAGATATCACAACATCTCTATAGTTGTAACAAACATGACAACATCTCTATTATTGTAACAAACATGACTATATCCCTGCAGCTGTAAAGTTCATACATATATTACTACATCTCTATAGTTGTAACAAACATGACCACCTCTATATTATTGTAACAAACATGATTATATCCTTGCAGCTGTAAAGTTCATACAGATGTGACAACATCTCTATGGTTGTAACAAACATGACAACATCTCTATTATTGTAACAAACATGACTATATCCCTGCAGCTGTAAAGTTCATACAGATATGACAAAATCTCTATAGTTGTAACAAACATGACTATAACCCTACAGCTGAAAAGTTCGTACAGACACGACAACATCTCTATAGTTGTAACAAACATGACAACATCTCTATGGTTGTAACAAACATGAATATATCCCTGCAGCTGTAAAGTTCATACATATATTACTACATCTCTATAGTTGTAACAAACATGACCACCTCTATATTATTGTAACAAACATGATTATATCCTTGCAGCTGTAAAGTTCATACAGATGTGACAACATCTCTATGGTTGTAACAAACATGACTATATCCCTACAACTGTAAAGTTCATACAGATATGACAACATCTCTATGGTTGTAACAAACTTGACTATATCCCTACAGCTGTAAACTTCATACAGATATGACTACATCTCTATAGTTGTAACAAACTTGACAACATCTCTATAGTTGTAACAAACATGACTATATCCATACAGCTGTAAAGTTCATACAGATATGACAACATCTCTATTGTTGTAACAAACATGACAACATCTCTATTATTGTAACAAACATGACTATATCCCTGCAGCTGCAAAGTTCATACAGATATGACAACATCTCTATAGTTGTAACAAACATGACAACATCTCTATTGTTGTAACAAACATGACTATATCCCTACAGCTGTAAAGTTCATACAGATATGACTTCATCTCTATAGTTGTAACAAACTTGACTATATCCCTGCAGCTTTAAAGTTCATACAGATATGACTACATCTCTATGGTTGTAACAAACATGACTAAATATCCCTACAGCTGTAAAGTTCATACAGATATGACTTCATCTCTATAGTTGTAACAAACATGACTATATCCCTACAGCTGTTAAGTTCATACAGATATGACAACATCTCTATAGTTGTAACATATGTGGATACATGACTATATCCCTACAACTGTAAAGTTCATTTAACCATATTAGTTCTGTATCATGAAGTGGTAACCTACCATTGCTGTTCCTGCCAATATCTTGAGTCCATCTGAAGTGAGGTCTATGGCTGTCACTGGTCCCTCATGTTCTGTATGTACATTGTAAAATCACACATTATTTGTTGTTGTCAAAATATTCATACATATCTGCATGCCTGATCTAATTTAACACCAGATAACACTAAATATTTTGAGAAGAATGCAACAAAAAAGCAGAATAATAAATTAATTGATCTCACCAGCTTCAAGGTAAACATGAGCAAAGTCCAGCGGCCATAGGCGCAGGAAACCATCGTCAGATCCCGTCACACAAAACGTCTCATTTACTGTCATACAGTTGATGCCAATACCTGAACCTGACAATAGAATTAAGAAGATATTACCTGTGTAACTTAAATAACAGTCAAATTGTAATGTGTCTCTGAAATCTATATTTCATTAGTTAATTATTGTATCACACTAGTTAATAAGGACCTTACCTGATCTGAAAGTCTGTTTCTCCTTGACAGGCTTGGTGTCCGTCGGCAGTAGTCGGCGGACATTCTGAATAGATACCTTTTGCAGCTCTATCTCAAATATGTGACCAGATCTACTGCAGGCATACCTGTACAGGTAATATAAACAAATAAAGGACCAGTTCTACCGTAGATATACCTGTACAGGTGATATAAACAAATATAGGACCAGATCTACTACAGGCATACCTGTACAGGTAATATAAACAAATATGTGACCAGATCTACTGCAGGCATACCTGTACAGGTAATATAAACAAATATAGGACCAGATCTACTGCAGGCATTCCTGTACAGGTAATATAAACAAATAAAGGACCAGATCTACCGTAGATATACCTGTACAGGTGATATAAACAAATATAGGACAAAATATACTATAGATATACCTGTACAGGTAATATAAACAAATATAGGACCAGATCTACTGTAGATATACCTGTACAAGTAATATAAACAAATATAGGACCAAATCTACTGTAGATATACCTGTACAGGTAATATAAATAAATACAGGACCAGATCTACTACAGATATACTGATGATATAGCTGTACAGGTAATATAAACAAATATGTGACCAGATTTACTAGATATACCTATACAGGTAATATAAACAAATATGTGACCAGATCTACTAGATATAGCTGTACAGGTAATATAAACAAATATGTGACCAGATTTACTAGATATACATGTACAGGTAATATAAACAAATATGTGACCAGATTTACTACAGATATACAGTTTTTGCACAAGAAACTGATAGCTAAATGCTCACACTAGTCTGTCGGAGGGATCTTTGTCAGCATGGTATCCTGCTTCAAAGCACACATCTGTAAACTCCACCGTGTGATGTTCGCCAAGATTGACAGGGGCTGACCTCAGATGACCATCCTTGACCCGCCACAGTCGAATATTGTCACGTCCACAAGATACCATCCTGGGAGATACAATACGTCAGTTGTTATCATCACAAAAAAAATCAAATGGAAAGTTTCACCTGTTTTAATTTTTGCACTTAACAAGATTGTGAATTCAACATGAGGTTGATCATTGATCAGATATCTACAGTGAGATCTCAAAGTGGGAGCTAATTCAACCCACAGCTAAGGGACCAATTAAAACATATACAGCATTTTTTAGTCTTTTTACAATCACTTTGTACATATCATATCAAACAATTTACTACCACCCCAAATTAAAGAGAATTTACTTTAATATTTTCTACAGGAATATGATGTGTTGGGATAAATAACTGAATTGGCAATAAAAAGCCCTGATGAGTTGAAACAGTATACATACTGTTTACATGTAAGTTATTGTTACACTTATAAATACACCCATAATTAGCAGGTTATTGAAGGGTATAGGTCTACTAGTTCTTAACTCTACAAAGAAATGTTTGCCTCCATATGTACATTACCTGGTATCGTCAAAGGCTGCCACTTTCATGCTCTCTATTTCTACATCAGTGTGTGCCTTTGCCATCACTGACACTTCTCGTGACTTAGCCACTTTGGACGTGTCCCAGATTACAACCATCTACAACAAATAACAGTGGTCATTGACTGAGAGTGGTTTTGTGTCTCTATAGTAACTGGTCTACTAGTATCCTTTACCAAAAGTAGAGTGTACTCTCTATATTAACTGTTACAGCCTTGCTGAGAAATAGAGTGGATTATAGTCTATACTGAAAAAACGGTGTGCTCTTTACATTGAGCTGTGACATAGAATGTTCACACTGTGAGATGATTTCATCAGTATTTAAAGGATGACAATTAAAATAACAGCTGTGTTACCAAACTACTTACATTTTTACCATGCCCGTCTTTCCCCACGCCACAAAGTACATTCCCTTTGTGAGAGAAGCTGAAACAATGAAGGTTTTATGTTATTTTTGATCTGGATACAAGATTATAACTCAAGAGACATTGTACAACAAAAGGCGGGAGTAGGCAGTCCTTGAGACTCCATTGTTCCTCATTTCTCTTCTGACAAGGAATACATGTGGCTTACATACTAGTGAGGAGGATTTTTTTTAAATACGTCTATCTATATCATCTTGGAAATTTAGAACAAAACATTACAATAAGTAATTATAATTATTTTATATGTATTACTTTATATGTATTACTTTACTTTATATGTATTACTTTATAATTACTTTATATGTATTACTTTATGTGTATTACTTTATATGTATTACTTTATATGTATTACTTTATATGTATAGACAAGAATAAGTCCATTAATCATTTTGTGGATAGATATTGCTGCTACAGTTAAGTGGTTTACTTAAACAAATCCAGTGATAGAGAGACAAGTAATCTGCTAATTACTCTAAGAGAACTATCACCTTTAGACAGCTTGTCTATATGTCATGTGTTCATACTGATTATTACCTCAGGCAGTGGAGGGAGTGCACATGTGTTTTACACATTGCCAGACACTCCCCGGTCTGAAATTTCCAGATGCGGACAGCACTGAGAACACCTGTCTGTCCGGAGGCCAGCAAGGAGGAATTACCCGTCAAACTGATACAGGATACCTATTTACGCAAAACAGTCAGAAAACATCAGACACAGGACCTCGAGGGTCTAAACATACATAAGTCAAGATTTCACATGTGTCACAGGGTATCTTGGTATATAAAATTAAAACATTTACATGTGTCACAGGGTATCTAGGTATATGAAATTAAAATATTCACATGTGTCACAGGGTATCTTGGTATATAAAATTAAAACATTTACATGTGACACAGGGAATCTAGGTATATAAAATTAAAACATTTACATGTGACACAGGGAATCTAGGTATATAAAATTAAAACATTTACAGGTGTCACAGGGTATCTAGGTATATGAAATTAAAACATTTACATGTGTCACAGAGTATCTATGTATATAAAATTAAAACATTTACATGTGTCACAGATTATCTAGGTATATAAAATTAAAACATTTACAGGTGTCACAGGGTATCTAGGTATATGAAATTAAAACATTTACATGTGTCACAGATTATCTAGGTATATAAAATTAAAACATTTACATGTGACACAGGGAATCTAGGTATATAAAATTAAAACATTTACAGGTGTCACAGGGTATCTAGGTATATGAAATTAAAATATTCACATGTGTCACAGAGTATCTTGGTATATAAAATTAAAACATTCTCATGTGTCACAGGGTATCTAGGTATATAAAATTAAAATATTCACATGTGTCACAGAGTATCTTGGTATATAAAATTAAAACATTCACATGTGTCCCAGGGTATCTAGGTATATAAAATTACAACATTCACATGTGTCACAGGGTATCTAGGGATATAAAATTAAAACATTCACATGTGTCCCAGGGTATCTAGGTATATAAAATTACAACATTCACATGTGTCACAGGGTATCTAGGGATATAAAATTAAAACATTCACATGTGTCCCAGGGTATCTTGGTATATAAAATTAAAACATTCTCATGTGTCACAGGGTATCTAGGTATATGAAATTAAAACATTCACATGTGTCACAGGGAATCTAGGTATATAAAATTAAAACATTTACAGGTGTCACAGGGTATCTAGGTATATGAAATTAAAACATTTACATGTGTCACAGAGTATCTATGTATATAAAATTAAAACATTTACATGTGACACAGGGAATCTAGGTATATAAAATTAAAACATTCACATGTGTCACAGGGAATCTAGGTATATAAAATTAAAACATTTACATGTGACACAGGGAATCTAGGTATATAAAATTAAAACATTTACATGTGTCACAGAGTATCTAGGTATATAAAATTAAAACATTTACATGTGACACAGGGTATCTAGGTATATAAAATTAAAACATTTACATGTGTCACAGGGTATCTAGGCATATAAAATTAAAACATTCACATGAGTCACAGGGTATCTAGGTATATGAAATTAAAACATTTACATGTGTCACAGGCTATCTAGGTATATAAAATTAAACCATTCACATGTGTCACAGGGTTTCTAGGTATATAAAATTAAAACAGTTACATGTGTCACAGAGTATCTATGTATATAAAATTAAAACATTTACAGGTGTCACAGGGTATCTAGGTATATGAAATTAAAACATTTACATGTGACACAGGGAATCTAGGTATATAAAATTAAATCATTTACATGTGTCACAGAGTATCTATGTATATAAAATTAAAACATTTACATGTGACACAGGGAATCTAGGTATATAAAATTAAACCATTCACATGTGTCACAGGTATCTAGGTTTATAAAATTAAAACATTCACATATGTCACAGGGTATCTAGGTATGTAAAATTAAAACGTTGACATGTGTCACAGGGTATCTAGGTCTATAAAATTAAAACATTCACATGTGTCACAGGTATCTAGGTTTATAAAATTAAAACATTTACAGGTGTCACAGGGTATCTAGGTATATAAAATTAAAACATTTACATGTGTCAAAGGGTATCCTCCTAGTTTTGAAAAATGTGGAGACCAAAAGAACCCTTACCTTATCAGTGTGGCCAACGAAGAAACGCTGATGACCGTTACTTATCTTCATAGCAACAACCACTGCATGGCAGGGGTACACAACACTACCTGCATCCACTGACCACAGCGCCTGTAACACAAAAAGTAGCAACTGACTACTCTAAAGCTATTAACACCAACCAGAGTCAGTCCAGGTACTGTACCTTACCCAATTAATCAACTTATTAGTGGGTGTTTGGTAATGTTTATTATTTTATCATGAGTATCATAGAAGTTGTTTTTATTTAAGGGCTAGAATGCACTTTTTGAACATTGATGATGGTATGCAACACAGTTTTGTTTAATAGGGAAATCTCAACCCGAGGGAGAAGATTCTTAAGTTGCCAAACACAGGTTTTTGCCGAGTGTTTGGCAACTTAAGAACCTTTCCCCGAGGGTTGAGATTCCCCTATCTCACCAACAGGGGGTGAATGATTCTTTTCTCTTACCCTGTTCACCTATTCTGTATCATATACAAAATGTAATGTTAATGCTACAGGCTAAATTCAGGGTTGACGTGACGTTGATGGATTGTTGACGTGATGTCATACCATTGTTATTAATAGGGGAACCCCCGTCTTAACCCTAGGGTGAGACAAGGAAATCTCACACCGGTAAAAGTGTGGATACACCTGTCCAGGGTAGGAGAGAAACATATGCCTCGGAGAATATGTTAGTATGATACTGTGTTGCATGCTGTTTAATCCTTATATTTATATTCTATATAATTCAGTTATTATTGACCTAAATATAGATATTCTCTCATATTTTCGATATTGAAGTGTGTGTGTTATCGGTGCAATCAAGATTCCTGGAGCATCACCAAATCTTTTATTCTAACAGTTGTCTCATGTTAAACGAACCAGGAGGTGAAGCTTCAAATTGACCCGGATCAAATTGCATTCATAGCTCGAGCTCTATGAACACAATTTATTTCTTCTTGTAATGCTTATAAAAGAAATTGCAATAGAAATGTAAATATATCATCGTTTTAATAACATACCAAATGATATGTGTTCTAGAAAAGATGTTTTTTACTTACATCTCTAAAAGAAGCTCCACCAAAACCTACAATCCTCTTCAGCTTCAGAATGGGATCTGGTTCTAGGCTCTGAAAGCAAAGTTAAGCTACATTACTGCTGAACACATCTTAAACTGTTATCTTTCATAAACCATGTCAATCACAGTAATAAACATCTGAATATATTGAAACCAATATGTACTTACCTTACTGGCTATTTTTCTTGGTCCCAGACTTGCTGGTGCAGACACCTTAGAAACCTGTAAGGGTTTCATAAGCAATAATCAATACATATGTACTAACATTTTCTTATATCTTCTTTTTCCTCTAATTCGAAAGATTATCAACACAAGATTACAGATAAACTGTTTGTACTGCATGTGCTACTGTAAGCTAAGTGTATAATGAGCATGAGGGGAGTATGAATAACCAAACAATGCAGCATAAACTGGATTAACCCTCCTGATTGACCACTACAGTAAACTAGTGTATACTAGTAATAGATAGGGGAGGGGATTAGATGCAGTTTTTATATTGCAAGATATTGCAATAGTATGTCATACTGTAATGTATTCCTATCAATTCAAAGTATTAAATATGATTTATTGTAGAAAATACAGAAAACAAGCACAAGTTCAGCAATCTTCAATGGTAAATTATAAATCATGTTAAATTGGTTTGAGAGTAATGATACAAAGCTAGCTTACTGTCATTAAAAATCTTAGCTTAACTTCTGTAAAACTGTTTCATAACAGTGCTTAACTTTCAAACATATTGCTAGACAAATACTGCAATACATTGGTGTTGCACTATTATTGCCCACCCCAAATATGGAGCATACCTGTCCACTAGTCTGACCTTCCTGGTGGACCATGATCTCGTCCTCAGGGTGTGCGAACACATGTACCTCTCCCTGGGTGTCCGCCACAACTGTCATCTTGTCCAGTCCCACTGGTGGCAGCTCTGATGTCACATGTCGACGCTTCACTTTCTGTATACACAAAGCATTAATGTAGCAGTACTTAAATAGAAACAGGAGTTCAACCATATTTAAGTTTATAACATAGAACTGACCATGTTAGATTTACACACAGAACCATCCATATCACCAATTAAGAATATTATAATTAAATTATATAAAATATTATTGTTTGTTTCTTGGCAAGAAATTGTATCACCTGTGCACAGTAAGATATTGTCTCACCTGTTTTCAGTAACACTGAATGATCATCTCACCTGTGTCCAGTAACACAGTAAGTGAGTGTATGACCTGTGTCCAGTAACACAGTAAGTGAGTGTATGACCTGTGTCCAGTAACACAGTAAGTGAGTGTATGACCTGTGTCCAGTAACACAGTAAGTGATTGTATGACCTGTGTCCAGTAACACAGTAAGTGATTGTATGACCTGTGTCCAGTAACACAGCAAGTGAAGGTATGACCTGTGTCCAGTAACACAGTAAGTGAGTGTATGACCTGTGTCCAGTAACACAGTAAGTGATTGTATGACCTGTGTCCAGTAACACAGTAGGTGATGGTCATACCTGTGTCCAGTAACACAGCAAGTGATGGTCCTACCTGTGTCCAGTAACACAGTAAGTGAGTCTATGACCTGTGTCCAGTAACACAGTAAGTGATGGTCCTACCTGTGTCCAGTAACACAGTAAGTGATTGTATGGCCTGTGTCCAGTAACACAGTAAGTGAGTGTATGCCCTGTGTCCAGTAACACAGCAAGTGATGGTCCTAGCTGTGACCAGTAACACAGTAAGTGAGTCTATGACCTGTGTCCAGTAACACAGTGAGTGTATGACCTGTGACCAGTAACACAGTAAGTGAGTGTATGACCTGTGTCCACTAACACAGAAAGTGATGGTCATACCTGTGTCCAGTAACACAGTAAGGGAGTGTATGACCTGTGTCCAGTAATACAGCGAGTGTATGACCTGTGTCCAGTAACACAGTATGTGATGGTCATACCTGTGTCCAGTAACACAGTAAGGGAGTGTATGACCTGTGTCCAGTAATACAGTGAGTGTATGACCTGTGTCCAGTAACACAGCAAGTGAGTGTATGACCTGTGTCCAGTAACACAGTGAGTGTATGACCTGTGACCAGTAACACAGTAAGTGAGTGTATGACCTGTGTCCAGTAATACAGTGAGTGAATGACCTGTGTCCAGTAACACAGTAAGTGAGTGTATGACCTGTGTCCAGTAATACAGTGAGTGTATGACCTGTGTCCAGTAACACAGTAAGTGAGTGTATGACCTGTGTCCAGTAACACAGTGAGTGTATGACCTGTGTCCAGTAACACAGCAAGTGATGGTCATACCTGTGTCCAGTAACACAGCAAGTGATTGTATGATCGGTGTCCAACCTGTGCTCAGTAACACAGAAAGTGATCGTCTCACCTGTGCCCAGTAAAGAGAGTGATTGTCTAACCTGTGCTCAGTAACACAGAAAGTGATCGTCTCACCTGTGCCCAGTAAAGACAGTAGTCCGAATTATTCTGACGTTTTATCAACTTTATTATATCGGTCTGCCGTCGATTAACGTCAGAACTCCGGCCCTCTATAATATTCGGGAAATATGCGACATGTATGTGAAAGTGACGATTTGTTTCTAAAATATCAGTTTGAAGTGCGCTCCGGGCACGGGTCGCATATTTCCCGCATATTATAGAGGGCCGGAGTTCTGATGTTAATCGACGACAGACCGATATGAAAAAAGTCGATAAAACGTCAGAATAATTCGGACTATAAAAAGAGTAAGTGATTATCTCACCTGTAACCAGTAATTGTGACCTTTACCTGTTTAGGCTCTGTAAGTTTGTGGATCATGGCAACCCTGTCAGTGACACATTTACTGACATCAACTGACCGTGTAGACACTCTCTTTGGGCTTCCTGTACGATGACTACCTGCAACATCAAAATATCAACATTAACAAAGGGACAAGTTAGTATTAGCATATACTTATTCAGAACAATAATTATAAGGAATTTGATCAATGAGTAAACAGGTATGAGCAGGCAGGATATCAACATTAAGAATCTTGAACAGAACACCAGGGGTGTACACTTTTATATTTAGAGTATGGTACATTTTGTACGAGGCTGACCAATATTTTCTATGAAATTGCTGAAAAGTGCCAATAAGCTTACCAGCCCTGGTGTCAGACTATTTGAGTTGTATAGTCTCAAGGCATATTACATATATTCAATTGACTACAGAATAGTTCTACTAACTTGTGTTTTTACCAGGGGGACTGCTGTACTGCATGGAGTCAAATGGCTTCTTACCACCATCAGAGGGAAATCTGTACAAAGAGTGTAAAAATGCTTTGTAAATCACTACCTGGTAAAGGAAGTCATCAAGAATTTCAAAAGGAGCATCTGTCGGCATTGTAGTTCCAATGTAATAATATAGTCACCCGGATCAGTAATAAACTCATGTGATAGGTAGTGAAGTCACCCTTATCAGTAATATAGTTACTGCGATCAATCAAAGTGATCATTTCTCCTAGTTTAAACTTGGTTCTACCTGATGAGGTCATAGTGGTCATGCCAGTGGTCTCCCTTTAGGACTGGGTAAGCCATCTCTCTTGGCATTGGTGACACTCCCTGGTCTAGGAGTCCAGCCCTCTTGGCCTGGTCAAGGGTTACAGCTGTTAACAGTTCAATTATAATTTACACATTCTTCAACAAAATTCACTTTTACAATATAAATTCGAAATTCACAATTTTCAGCTGTAAAATAACAATTCAGTCTGTTTATCATTCAGTGAATGCTCAACCCAATGGATCTAACGTGAACAATGAAAAAATAAACCATGTGTTGTCAATCCCTTGTTAATAAAGAGATGTAGATCCTATAATACCTGGATCAAACAATGTGTCACTTGTAAATATATTCTTGACCACCATGTTGGCACAAAGTCGTATTCCCTTCATGTAGGAAAACTTTCTGTTGAGGTACATGGACAGGATATAGTTGAAGTCTAAACATAAGACTGTCCATCGTGTGGCATGAGGTGCTGGGCCACTGTGATCTGTAAACCAAACCATTCATGTTGTTACATACAGTTAATCATTAATAAATACTCATTCAGAAACTATTAAGGTACATTGTTAAGTTAATCATCATTGTATAAATTAATACTAGAACAGTGCACCTAAGTTTACATTTAGTTAATTGTTATATGAAATAAAATGTGCCAATATGTGGTGAAAAAGTGAAGATATAGAACCCCATCCAAGGTCACTGAATCACAAGTTTTTAAAAGGCTTGAAACCATTACTTCATAGCCAATGACATAACATATCAAAAACATGAATTGATTGAATGATGAGCTACTTTTCCCACCACAGGTAACCATTTGTATACAGCTGACTATTTCACACCTTTAACTCATTCACCCCTGAAGACCCATTTGAACTCCTCCAATTCAAAGGTTGGAATAGTTCATTATGAAATTTCAGGGGTGAATGAGTTAACACCAATACACGTAGGGTGATTCAGATGTTTAGTAGCTTCATTATTGGGGCAATTTTGATTTAAAAAGGGAAATTTAACCCCAAACATCCCTGGTTAAATGGTACAACAACTGGTGAGTCATAACTGTTTTATTTTCTACATATTTCTGTGTCATCTTTCTCTCTTGTACATACAATTGTATAGGTGTGTGTTTCTAATTACATTAAGATCACTTACATTTTATCTATACTACTCTCTTCTGTATATTCTCACCTTTCCCACCCATTGCAGCAAATGCATGGACAGATCCTTTGGAAGCATTACAAAGAAATGGGAACTGAAGCCATGTGGAAGTTGACTTGAACTCCTTAAACAGGTTAGAGAATGACACTCTCACGATCAGGTTGTCCTGAGTGGCTAGGTCTATGTGGACAACAAAGTATTTGGTGGGGATTGGCTTGAACAGGAGGTACAGGTAACGTCCAGTTAAACCCAGTGATTGGGTCTGGGCCTTTGGGAGCTGGATATAATTCCCAGCAGGGATTGAACCTGTCACCTTGTACACAGTACATTTCACAGCTTTGTCCTGTTGAAAAAAAAAGGAAAATGTCAATTTACTATGTGAATGCATTTAATGGTGGTAGTGTGAGGTAATATACAATTCCTCATTGCTTTACACTTTTCAGCACTGATTGACAAATAGAAAAATTCTGTGAAATTATATGATGTTTCCAGATTGTGACCATCAACAACAATTAATTTGAGAAACTTCATGAGCAGACAATATTGTCAGACAAAATGAACTACAATTAACATAGTATAAGTTTAGTTGGTTAAGGACTTGACCCTTTAGTGAAAGTTTACAAACATCAGTAATTAGTATCTGTGCATATTTAGTTGTTATACCATTACTCCTGCTACTTCGCCTTCTTTTGTTGACTTTTTCCATGATGCAAGGTTGAAGTGTTTGAAAACATTCACATATGGGTGCTGCCACACTGTTCAATACAAAAGTTATACATGTATATGATAAATGCTTCAATTACAATGTGTGCATTTCAAATATTGAATACATGCTTGTAAGCCCTGAGGAATTATTCATGAAAATGCAGAATTGAAAAATGTAAACGTTTGTTGAGCTTTACTGCTGGTCCATCATTCCTGAATTAATACTTTTGACACCTCCTACCTTGCAAGTTGGTCAATGACATTCATATGAACATAATTGACCCCAAAGTTTGTTTAACTCAATTGTTATCTGATAATGTTAATATTCTGAAACTTATTGGCTTATTTTAACACTTGGAACTGTTTTGAAAAAAATTGCAGGAAGCTAAAAGTAAAGGGGGTCTTGTCAAGAAAATGGGTACATGAGTGCATTTTTAAATGGATTTGCTTACTTGAGATTCATTTGACATTGACTGATGATTAATGTTCAATAAACAGGACTATCAGTGGTACATTTTGTGAAATTTTACCAAACAAACTTTCGGATTTTTTTGATTTTTTTTTGTGTCAATAACATTATTTATTGTAAAAAGTATGTGGACGTTTCCAGAAACATCCTTTTTTCTGGACTATTGCTACAGAGCAGTACAGTATGTGAGTTTTCATTCTAGGTTTTCTATGCAAAGCTGCACATTTTGTGACTAGGGAATTCTCATAAACGAAAGACAATCCCCAAAAATTATCCCAAACTTGTTGATCCACTGATACAGTTACTGGCATCATCAGTCATTACACCTATAGCTATTAAGGGAAAAATTTGGCTTCCCATAAGTATATATAAGTATATATAAGTATATATAAGTATATATCATATACCTGACTACAAGTTACATGGTGGATTTCAACTTATGTTGAAATAAAAAAAAATGTCTCTCCTACCCTTCTATATTAACACAGGCATCTGCAAGGTAAATATGTTAAAATATAAAATAGTCTGTCCTACCTTACTACTTATATATATATAATTAAGGTATTTCATACAGCATTATGTCAGTGTATATAGTTTGTATTAAATGGGCTCGTAATTTTCCTCAAAACAAATAAAGTATGGAAGTTGATTCGTTAACTAATGTCAAGAACAATGTCAATAATAACATTTGCAGAAATTAGTTGAGAAAAATATTGTTAATTTTGTCTGGAAAGTAACTTTTGAATGCAGAATTTGAGTGGCACAAAATTGCAATGAATAATGAAAATACTTATCTGTTCATGGAATTCCTGAAGTATCCATGTATTCACCATTATCGAGAAAATGTGTCAAATCTCCAGAATAATGGCATATATTTCCACTGATTAAATCATGACTGAGAACAAAGCCAACAAGGCTGACTGAGGTTGGAAAAAAGCATGCAAAGCAAGTGAGATTTTACCTGAGGTACATTCATGTATCCGGTTGAAACAGTACCTGTGGCGCAGAAATATTCCACGATAAACGAACGCACTTGGACCGTTGTATAAGCAGAGCTAAAAATGCACAGTTTCGGAGAATAAAAAACAATGTAACAAGAATATTATGCTCTTCTCTCACGTGTACACTGAATTACATCACTTATCTTAAAAAATACATGTGGCTTGACATTATTTTAGAAAGACATAATACAAACTGGCAATAGTCAGCATTTAAGTTTCGGCCAGGTACGTATGGACCCCTCAATCTTCATGTGCCGAATTTTCCTGGGGTCTGCCTCGGTTCGGATCTGTACCTGTCGTTTTCTTTACAGGTTCAACTGTTTCAACCGGAGACACGAATGTACACTTGTACACCATTCACTACAGGTTCTCACTACGGTAATCTGGCTTGACTTGTATAAATAGCCTTGTTAGCTTTATGAATTATTGTAAAATATTCAATCAAAGTACACACCATCATTCTTGAGATTTGAAGCATTTTCTTACATTTTTCTCGATAATAGTGAATACACAGATACTTCAGAAATGCATGTACAGGTAAGATTTTTCATAAATTATAATATTCAATGCAATTTTGCACCACTCAAATTCTGCAATTAAAAGTTACTTTTCAGACAAAATCAACAATATTTACTACAAATAATTTCTGCAAAGGTCATTATTGACATTATTCTTGACATGGGTATACCAACCAACTTCCGGTTTTTTTTTCATTTTGAGGAAAAGTTATCAGCTCATCACAAATCCTGACATGAGCCTGTATGAAATACCTTCAACATATATACATAGGTCTACCAGGTGTGCCTGTGCACACAGACTACATGATGTGGTAAAAATGTTTAAATTTCAAATATCGCCAGCCAGACTCAAATCACAATTTATTTCATGTGTCTCTTGTGAATTGATACTTATTCTTTGGGTTATCGAGAAACTACTCTTGAATAGCAGACGCGAGCTGAGCATGTTTCATCTTGTCAACGATCACATTGTAACAAATGTGTAAATTCTACGACAGCTAGCTTACAGTGTGACATTTTGGATGTTGGAAATGCCGAGTTGGATGTTCCAGTAATGAGGAAAATATGAGTCAGATCACGCAATGGTCAGATAGCTTAAATTCCACATACTCCTTCGTCTTCCCGTGTCTTATTTTGGGTTTACCGCCATGTTTTGATTTTGTATGCGCATTTTGTCTACGCATAATATATCAACTTCCGGTTACAATACGGCACATTCGATTACAACGCTATTGGGCTCATTCGATTACAAATTGATGTGAAAAAAATGAATATGAATGAGAATATCGATTAATTCCTTAAATCATGATTATGTTGATAATTTGGATCGATACCCATAAATGTAATGCATAAAGTTGTAAGGAAATCTTGAGACCTTTCTAAACAATTGCTGCATGTCAGTAGAAATTTTAAAATAAATTGATTAGATTGTGCTGGCTTATCCATCTACACGTTATGCTGCAAGATACACAATTTTTAACTCAAAAATCAAAGTCATCTGCAAGTAATTTCGCACTGTGTTTATAGTGTACAAAGGCAGGGCACCATGTCCTCAATGTGTTTGAAATGCATACTAAAGAGAAAGCCGGAACTACAAATTTGTCGGTGATGTTGGTTTAGCTTTATCTAAGTATTACATTTTTATATTATTCTAATAGTAATGTAGTGAATGATATTGTTTAAAATGCCACGAAACTTATTCTAGATATTTGCAAAGACTTTCTTCCAAAAAAAATCTGTCACTGTGACTCTACATCCTAAAGTCAAACGTTGGGTTAGTCAAGCATTGGAGAAAAGAGATAGGTTAGGTTTTTACAACTTTAAATGAACTAAGATTATCAATATAAATTCCCATTTTTTTCTGGCTTGCTGAAAAGCCACCCCAATAAAAAGGAAAATTATAGAAACATATAATGATACTAATGTAAGATCAACAGGCCAATGACTTAACCCAACATATTCTGGTCCATTCCCAACTCTTTACTAGTGTAGGCAGCCACAGTCAACACATTTTTTCTTAACAACAAAGCAATATACCAGAAAACGTTGAAAAGATGTATCTCCTGCAATGCTTTAATACTCCAATACTAAACAATAAAGATGTATCTCCTGTTATGCTGTAATACTCCAATGCTAAGTAATAAAGATGTATCTCCTGTTATGCTGTAATACTCCAATGCTAAGTGATAAAGATGTATCTCCTGTTATGCTGTAATACCCCAATACTTAGTGATAAAGACGTATCTACTGTTATGCTGTAATACTCCAATACTAAGTGATAAAGACGTATCTACTGTTATGCTGTAATACTCCAATACTAAACGATAAAGACGTATCTCCTGTTATGCTGTAATACTCCAATACTAAATGATAAAGAATAAGTTTCTGTTATGCTGTAATACTCCAATACTAAGTGATAAAGACGTATCTCCTGTTATGCTGTAATACTCCAATACTAAGTGATATACAAACAAGCCCAGATGAAGTATTTAACATCTTGATGGGCTAACAAAAGCATCAGGTTCAGATTACTCGGGTGATTTTACACTACATAAATGTTCACAACCCCTCAGTTTTCTTTGGGTGTATAATTACAAGTCTGCCCAATTTTCTAGAAGGGCAACTCGATAGATCCTACTATCATTTCTACTATTGTCTAATCTCATTGTTATTATGATATCATATCATATCTAAAATCCAAGAAAAAATTGTTAGCAAAGTTTTGCTTGGAAGATCAAATTTTGATCAAAGTAAAAGTTTCAAGAGAGACTTTTCCACTAAAAGATTAATCAAAATAGTTCACAATATGTATATGCCAGATGAAGATCATGTACAGTACTGTATTGCTTGACGTTAAGGGTTAACTTTACAAGTTATTTTCTTAATATGAATCAGTTTTATTGTTTTAATTTGTAAAAAAATCCAATTAAAAAAATAATTATTGATGTTTTCGCCCCTTAGGTTTCTATTTCAGACCTTTTCTTATTATGAACTTTTATGTAAATGATATAAACCAAATCTCTGATTTCAACCACGATCTTTTTGTTAATGATGGTGCTTTAGAATCTGAAACACCAACTTCAACTGTGATATTTCTTTGGAATCTGAATTAAATTACCATACTAGTCTGTACATCAATAAAGTTGAAAAGTGACCTTAGCAAACTGTTCAATGAGCTAAAACCTGGTTAGTAACTTTAAACACAGTAAGAATTAAGATGATGACATTAGAACAGAGCACCCATAGTTTTGAAAATTTCCCGTCTATATCTGAATAACGTAGAAACACTAAGAGTAGGTAAGCATCTATTAGACAATCTTAGCTAAAGTCCTAAATGTTAGTATAGATCTAGGGTTGGTAACAAACCCCTCTCCCTTCCCAGGGGCGTAGCTGGGATATAAATCTTGTGCAGGCACTTGATCAATTGGCTGATAAATGTGTATTTTTTTGTTTAAAGACAGCAGTTTTAAAGTTGAAATAAAATCAATTGATAACTATACCAGTGCGTTTTATGATTAAATATACAAATTATACGACATTATATATAAAGAAGTTGTAATGATTTAAATGTGAGGATTTCAGCAGGATTTTTTTAGACCAGGTGTTCCGGAAGGGTAAGCGGCTGCTGCTTTACCAACAACACACATTTAATCAGGGTCAAATCCTAGATATGTTACGTCCACAGCGCGAGTACTGGAGTAGTGACAACAGAACCTAACTAATAAGCATAATCAACAACATGACCTTCATATCACACAAAGAAATATAATATTTCCCTTAAAGATTATTAAAGCGACAATAAAACTTGCCAATAGTCTACATTAACCGGCATCGTTGGAACCTGTATTGTAACTTTGTCAGTCAACAGGCGACATCAATAATATTATGATAAAGTCATGAAGTTACGCTATCTACAGCGAACTCTTGGCCGAATCAACCGAAACATGGGGGTGCGGGGATGTTACTGTCAAGAAGAGAAAGTTCATGATCAGAAAATGAAGATCGTACAGCATACTTGTAAGAGGTCATTTTCGATCATATAATGAGAAAACATCGAAGAAAGCGACTGAGGTGAAGAGCCTGCTGTGTCCTTGATTTCAAGCGGTATGGTTTATAAGATAGACGCAGCAAATACAACTTTTGTTTGTAAAGACAGCCCATCGTTGATATATCTGAATGTTATATTGAAGGACTTGGCTAGGAATTTTTTTGGCCTGATAAATAAATTTAGCCTCGTATTAAAACTAAACAGTCGGCCAGAGGAGGGGCACAGTTTCTTCCCATAGGAATGTCTACAATCAGCATACTCGTAGAAAGTCTTGCCATCTAACTTAACAAAGACAGTGTCAACCAGTAACTCAATTATTATCATAATTAATTATTCTCACAACTTTGTCCCTGTATATTTATTTTTCAGCCTTGGTAGTGCTTTTAGCAAAATAGTGAAGGCTTTCTTTCTGTTTGTTATGAGGAATGGTAATAAAAATGGTCAAAAAGCAAAAAATAATACAGGAGAATATTTTTGAGAACAGAATGTTCTAGATTGATAAATGTTTCAAAAAAGTCTTCAAAACCCACATTCCGTTTATTCCACTTACAGAGTATACAGTCACAATATGACTCTAACCCTAATTAAGTGGTACTAAGAATGGTAAAAGAAGTTTTCATAATGTCTTCGTTGAGTAACCAGGTGAGCCTGCGATAAAACGTACCGGTAATTACAGTAATAAGGATTTGGTAAAGTTTTGGAATCCAATGCAAACGAAGCAAAAGTCTGTATCTTTGTCATTAATGGGTATTCGGAAAGACTGTAGTACAGAAGCGTGATAAGCTAGTATTTCGTCTATCAGAGATTTGGAAGTATATATGTAGGGTTACCTTGGTTATCAAGCATGCTTAGTTCTAAATGGGTAACTTGTTATAACCTGCTAGCCTATCTCCGACTGAAATCCTATGCGTGCCAAATCAGGTAGGATCGACGGACATGAGCTTACGCCTTACTTTGAGTAGCCTCGGAAGGCAAAAGAGTTTCACTGCGAGAGGGATCCTCTGAACTTTTTGAATTTGCCAGACCAAAACTTGTTCACCGTTGACATATTACGTATCATTGTTAAATGTGAGCTCGAAAGTTGTATTTCACTCGCATGTAATACAAGATCTTTTTTTTTTACCTTAGAAATAATAACAATATTTTCCTTTTTTTGTACTTGACCAACACAAACCATCACGGATATAGTACAATCTTTTATAAGGTCAAAATAGGCATCAGCAAGGTGAATTCAGTAGAGCAAGCCTAGATACACAATTGATGCAAGTATAATCAACATAGCACTTGTAGTAGGCAAGATATAGATAAGAGCAATTCTTCTTAACCTTGCATGAAGATGAGAGCAATTATTCAGAAGTTCTTTAAAGGTTTAACATACTTGACCCATGTAACCTTAAAAGTGGGTCAAGCTTACCCGGTATTCATTTATATCTATTTATATAAACTTGATAGTCTTTTTTCCCTGCATGCTTCTGGCCAAATATCATAACCATAAGGTTTTTGGTCATTGGGAAGACTTTTTAAAAATATTTCAATACATTTGACTCCTGTGATATTAAAAGGGGTCAAAGTCATTAATTTAAACACACTAGATATCCCTTAATCATCATATCTTCCGACTAAATTTACTGGTCTGACAGGCTGGTACAGCTCCATGCCTTGAAAATACCAAAAATGCAAAATACAAACAGTACAAAGTTTACCAATTAGTATAAATTTTTATTGAGATGATCTTTGATTATACATGAGGAATGGTTATTGCTACAATGTTGGTCTAGATTTAAATGTACAATGGCACTGAATGTAGTGATTAATGATCATGAATTCCAAATATTTACAAATATGTACAATTAAAATATGGTACAAAAATAAAGTTAGAAAATACACTATTATAAAACACTAGGTCAAGTTGATCAACGATGAATAAAGCTTGTGTGTACACTATTCCATCACAGGATGATATAGCATTGTACACCTCCACAATATAGCTTGTGTGTACACTATCCCCTTTTACATTCGCTGGTGACCTGTAAAAGTCATATTCTCATTACCTCCTAATTCTGACATATCAACACTGGAGCTCAATTTCTATAGATGGTGACAAAATTGCCTGTAATGGTTTCTGAATTAAGTAGTTATAGGGAAGTATGATACATTTATAATATCCTGTTTAGATAGTTTGGTACCCAAGTAACAGTAACCTTAATTGTTTGTTACAAGAGTAACAATAACCTAGATGGTTTGTTACAAGAGTAACCTAGATTGTTAAAAGAGTAACAATAACCTAGATGGTTTGTTACAAGAGTAACAGTAACCTAGATTGTTACAAGAGTAACAGTAACCTATTTTTTTGTTACAAGAGTAACAGTAACCTAGATTGTTACATGAGTAACGGTACCTAACCTAATTGTTTTTGTTACAAGAGTAAAAGTAACTTGGGTACCAGTTACTTAGGACACTGTTTCTTTGTTCTTGATTGATAAGCATAGATGAAATGATAAAGAATGCGTATACAATTTGTGTATATTAAAAACAATCATAATTTGGTCTCTACCTTCAACAAGAGATTCGTTATCACATTCTTCATACACCATTAAAATAATCAAAGGCTAACCCTTTTTTCAGCCATTCCATGTATCCATCACTTATAATGGCATCAAAATGTTATTGTTGTCTGCTTACAGCCCACCATGTAATAGATTTGGCTCAGATAAGGACATTTGATTAAAACTGCTAATTAATTCTTACAGACATATCTTACACACATCATACACTCATTGACTACCATACCAGTTAGTAAAATATTTATAACAATTTAAGATGGAAGTTCTATATAAGAACATATTTATTCTAAAAGAACCAGACAAAATTAAACTGGTCAAACCAAACCAAATTTACAATCATTTTATTTTTTATTTTTTTTATAACGAAGAACATTTTGAAATACAAGAACTATTTGCTACGTGTTCATCTGTAATTACACAAACACTTATATGTCTCAAAATCTTTTGTTTGTCATGAGCTTGTCAAAATAACACCATCTTAAAAAGTTCCTGTAAAAATGTGATGCAGTGGCTTCCACAGGTAAGTATAATCTAAAATTCAATCCCTTAACAACAAGTGTTTAACAAGTAGAATCCTTTCTGTCATAATGACACTTATATGAGTGGAATTACAATGTAAGGAGTAGAATTACAATGTAAGGAGTAGAATTACACTGTTAGGAGTAGAAACCTGTAGACTAGTATATTAGATTCCTGTTCTATGAGGTCTTGTGTACAAACATGCCTAACTAATATTTGCTGCCATTCCTTCATTATCTCAAACACATTGGTCCCATCACTGCAGTTATTATATAGGTTACAATACATAGACATCCTCATACCTGTTCCGTGTATATAAACATACTGATACAGTAGACTGACCACTAATAGTATTACAGACTGACCCCCTTAAGTAATACATACTGACCACCTACAGCAGTACAGACTGACCACACAGGTACAGTACACAGAGGAGGTACAGCAATACCACAGGATCCTGTCCTAACAACATGGTCATCACATACGTACTTGACAAACTCAATCTCTATACTCATTTTAAATTATTTTTTTAATCAAATAAGGAGAAGCCATATTTTTTTTGTCATTAATTAAGCACCAATCACAATCGCCAAATTCAAAATACGAGTAATGTACCAAAAGAAATCAAACTTATTTATGTAGATTTCATTTCCTACCAGACTGTACTTGTAACCTACACAGAAACCTTTCTGAATTCTACCAACCATGTCTTCCTCAGAATCTAACAGGTTTAAATGCAACCAGTTGGCCAGACTAGCTTGAATTGTTCAGCTGACTTTCAATAAAGTGTCAATTCCATTGGTCCAATCTTGGGTCTATTTCATTGTTCAGGTGACTTTCAATAAAGTGTCAATCACATTGGTCCAATCTTGGGTCTATTTCATTGTTCTCTACCGGCCACTTAGAACTCTGACTCAGTGTCATGCGGACCATCTCTGCTGAGCAGGACACGGGTTGTGTCATTGTCACCTGGTGGGGGTCTGAATTTAAAAAAGAAAATACAACATCAGTATTGATAAATAGCCTTCACTTACTCATAACATGAAGAGACATTTTACTACAATAACAGCAAGCTTGTATCCCTAAAAATTTCAGTAAAAACATACACCTTAGAATGATTCTACCTTCCCTTTGAATAAATAAAAATACTCATTAATTGTTCCTTCCCCCACCCCACCCCAGAACATCATTAATATTCTTACCCATTTCTATGTGGTTCACCCTCCGCTTCCCTTCTTTTCTCCTCCCTTCGTCGATCTTCATCCATGCGCCTTCTGTCATCCCGGTACCGGTCCCCAGGGGGTCCTGGTGGGCGTCTCCTATCATCTGGCCCTGGAGGTCCTCTTCTCCGTTCTCCTGGGGGTCCCCTCGGTCGATCATCAGGGCCACCTTGTGGTCTCCTCGGACGATCATCTTGTCCACCAGGTGGTCTCCTGGGACGATCATCTGGTCCACGGGGCGGACCACGACGGTTGGGGTGGGGCATGCGTGGACGGTCAGGTCGTGTACGGTCATCTGGTGGTCCCCTTGGTCGATCACCAGGAGGTCTACGCCTGTCATCTGGACCTCGCCTGTCTGGGCCTCTGCGATCATCAGGGCGGCGACCTCTTTCTTCATATCGAGGAGGAGGGCCCCTGGGGTCAGTATCTCCATATGCCCGGTTCTCATAGCCAGCTTTTCTAGGACGACCCTCATGATCATACGAAATGGGCTGTAAATAAAACAATGTCAAACAGTCAGTGATGCCTAGTGCTGATCAGTTGATTACCTCACTTTCACTCAGGTAGACAATCACAGAATCGAAAGCATATCTGATACAAAAACAGAACTGTTACTCTATATAATGTCTAGATAACACAGTGGGTTACATTATCATAGTACCAAAGCCTTAGTCTTAGTATATTATACATACAGGATTCTTATTAAGTTTCATTAAAAATCAAATAATACTAAAGCAAGTTATCTTGTGGAAACCAAATTGTGGATGGACAGCAGGAGGAGATACACATCCCCATACCATAAAATGTGCAGTAAAAATCTGGATAGGCATATTAAAAGTCCCCATTTCTCAATTTGATTATATGCACCAAAAGAAAATACAGTTAAAATGTTGTTCCTTCTCTGAATATTAGTGAAATAGTTACCGAGCACCCTACGAATATTGTCAGTAAGGGGAGATAACCCACCATATTACCCCACTTCAAACATGCCAATTTTGGAAAACAAATGGGAGAAAACTACACAGCATCTGACATTTGGACTATGAAGGGAGATGATCCTAAATCCCCTACTCCTGACATTGAAGGGAGATAACTCACCTGGTAGGGTTTGGGCTGAATAGGTTGATGTGGTGTTGTTCCTGACTTCAAGTTATCTCTGTAAATATCAAAATATAAATGTTAGAAATAGAACTTTAACAGCCACATATATATAGAACAGTGAAGATTTGTATTAGGACGGAACGTTAACAGCAACATATAGAACAGTGAAGATTTGTTTTAGGAATGAATGTTAACAGCAACATACAGAACAGTGAAGATTTGTTTTAGGAAGGAATGTTAACAGCAACATATAGAACAGTGAAGATTTGTTTTAGGAAGGAATGATAACAGCAACATATAGAACAGTGAAGATTTGTTTTAGGAATGAATGTTAACAGCCACATATAGAACAGTGAAGATTTGTTTTAGGAAGGAATGTTAACAGCAACATATAGAACAGTGAAGATTTGTTTTAGGAATGAACGTTAACAGCAACATAAAGAACAGTGAAGATTTGTTTTAGGAATGAATGTTAACAGCCACATATAGAACAGTGAAGATTTGTTTTAGGAATGAACGTTAAAAGCAACATATAGAACAGTGAAGATTTGTTTTAGGCATGAATGTTAACAGCAACATACAGAACAGGGAAGATTTGTTTTAGGAATGAATGTTAACAGCAACATATAGAACAGTGACGATTTGTTTTAGGAATGAACGTTAACAGCCACAGATCGAACAGTGAAGATTTGTTTTAGGAATGAACGTTAACAACAACATATAGAACAGTGAAGATTTGTTTTAGGAGTGAATGTTAACAGCCACATATAGAACAGTGAAGACTTGTTTTAGGAATGAACGTTAACAGCCACATATAGAACAGTGAAGATGTGTTTTAGGAATGAATGTTAACAGCAACATAAAGAACTGTGAAGATTTGTTTTACACCACAGATTTGTTTTACATTACAGATTGTACATTTTTACCTTGATTTCTCCTCATAATTCAGTCTGCTTTTGTGGACAACAGCTACTCCATAGTCACCAATGGGCCGGAACTAGAACAAGAAATTAACATAATAAAAGTAATACACCTACAAATTTATACAGCAAATGTATAATAATTTTATCAACTAGTTTTTTATTTCAAATTTAGCATATTAGTGTTCCACTTTTTTATTGTCACAGATTTTTATAAACACTGTTTAGTGGATTTGCTTACATCTTAAGTGTTTTTCAGTAAGAGAATATCTATAATATAAAATATGGATTACAAAACATACAGACTTTAATGTAACAGTTATTATCACTAACAAGATAGTTTTGGTTATTGTCTTAAAAAATCCCTGTTTCAATCTGACCATGATTCGACTAACATAAAGGGCACTGATATATTGGATATGATTCAGTGTACGCAGCACATGTCAAAAGTATCTCATGGTGTTCAATCTGTAACCACCAGACTTCTGGTAAGTACATGTCACTACCAGACACCTGATAACAGTGTGTTACCCCCAGACTCCTGGTAAGTACATGTTACCCCCAGACTCCTGGTAAGAGTGTGTCACCCCCAGACACCTAGTAAGATTAAGTCACCCCCAGACTCCTGGTAAGTATACATGTTCCCCCCAGACACCTGATAACAGTGTGTTACCCCCAGACTCCTGGTAAGAGTGTATCACATCCAGACTTCTGGTAAGTACATGTTACCCCCAGACTCCTGGTAAGTACATGTCACCCCCAGACACCTAGTAAGATTAAGTCACCCCCAGACACCTGGTAAATACATGTTACCCCCAGACACCTAGTAAGATTAAGTCACCCCCAGACTCCTGGTAAGTTCCCGTTACCCCCAGACTCCTGGTAAGTACATGTTACCCCCGTGCCCAGACACCTGGTAAGTACATGTTACCCACAGACTCCTGGTTAGTACATGTTACCCGCAGACTCCTGGTAAGTACATGTCACCCCCAGACTCCTGGTAAGTACAGGTTAGCCCCAGACACCTGGTAAGATTAAGTCACCCCCAGACACCTGGTAAGTACATGTTACCCACAGACTCCTGGTTAGTACATGTTACCCCCAGACTCCTGGTAAGTACATGTCACCCCAGACACCTGGTAAGATTAAGTCACCACCAGACGTCTGGTAAGAGTGTGTCACCCAGAGACTTCTAGTAAGAGTGTGTCACCCACAGACTCCTAGTAAGTTTGTGTTACCCCCAGACACCTGATAACAGTGTGTTACCCCCAGACTCCTGGTAAGTACATGTTGCCCCAAGACTCCTGGTAAGTACATGTTACCCCCGTGCCCAGACACCTGGTAAGTACATGTTACCCCCAGACTCCTGGTAAGTACATGTTACCCCCAGACGCCTGGTAAGATTAAGCCACCCCCAGACTCCTGGTAAATATACATGTTACCCCCAGACACCTGGTAACAGCGTGTTACCCCCAGACTCCTGGTAAGTACATGTTGCCCCAAGACTCCTGGTAAGTACGTGTTACCCCCGTGCCCAGACACCTGGTAAGTACAAGTTACCCCCAGACTCCTGGTAAGTACATGTTACACCCAGACTCCTGGTAAGTACATGTTACCCCCAGACTCCTGGTAAGAGTGTATCACATCCAGACTTCTGGTAAGTACATGTTACCCCCAGACTCCTGGTAAGTACATGTTACCCCCAGACACTTGGTAAGATTAAGTCACCCCAAGATTCCTGGTAAATGTGTCACCAACAGACTTCTATTAAGAGCGTGTTACCCCCTGACTCCTGGCTATTACCCTTTTTCAGCTTTACCCTTTACTCCTTGTAAATAAGTATTATTCTACACCCAGTCCCCTGATTCCAATTTTAAATTACGATGCCCTGACTAAAATTTACAGTAATTAAGGGAGCCTTGCCCACCGAGTCATCAATGCAAGAGTCTTGACATCTGATCTTCAGTTAGAGAGAGTTTATACAGCTGTATATAGTCTATACATCCCCCCCCCCCCCCCCCCCAGGCCAATTTGCCATTAGGAGCCCTTCCCCTCTAACCCTGTTCAGAGCCTTACAATGCACCATGTACATACATAGGGATACCGCCACTAACTTCTAACCTTAGTTAATTCAACCGCTGGCTAACTCCCATTACGAGCACAGATATACTAGCTCGTCTGTCAATTAACGACTGTGGTACGAGTCTCCTAGGTCCTCAGAACGACACTTACCACTAGATCTCTCCTGTAGGCGTTGGCCCTACGCTTTCCCTCCACAATCAGGAACACGGCCAGTCCGACACACAGCAACATCAGGACGATGAAGGCGGGTCCTAGAAACTGATCGTTCCAGTCCCACAGGTACACATGCCGCATCCTCAGAGTGATCACCAGTATACCGACGATGCCTAGTACCAACCCAATAACAAACACGACCCCCGCTATCAGGCAGCAGGTCCTTCCTGGCCCTAGGTTCACACCATTTAGCTCACCTTTAATCTGGCCCTGGATAAAGTCGTGGTAGGCCACAACAGTGTCCTTATCGATGTCATGGCGACTTTTAGACATCGTAATAGGTTTAGAGTTGTTACGAATGATAAAATGTATTCTTCATCAGGAACTGTTTGTAACAGTCCTTTCACTTCCGTTAATCACTATCCCACAATTCACCTTTATTTACCTGACTCACCTGTGACATGCGCAATGTTTACATACCTGAAACACCGAAGGCTTATAGTTTGTTTCATATATGTATTTAGTTGAACATTGAACCTGACGTCGTATTATTGCGAGTTTAACTATGAAATATATTTGGAATACGGTTGTTATACGGTTAACTTATACTTACTGACAGAGATCTGTAATGATCTCATATAAAATATGTTGACAACGTCTATCGGATATGTCTAATCAGAGGCGTAATGTAGTTTACTATTCTTTTGTATTATCAATTAGCTCAGAGACAGTCAAAAATTTCATCATACAGCAAAAACGCTCGGGCGAAACAACTTAGTGCGAAACGATACGGGGCGAACGGGATTTAGGGCGAAACGTCCTGATACCACGGAACATAGCGAGCCCAAATAATAATAAATATAGAACGTGACGTCTTATAATTGCGAATTTTAGCTATACAATTACGTTAGTCACTTTCAAATACAGTTGTGTAAAAATGTATTTACCGAGAGCTACAATGATCATGTATAAAATATGCTGACAATTGACATGAATCGGACAACTAGAGTCTGTAACAGGAGAGGAATAATGCACGGTCAGACCGGGGTTCGAACCCGGGGCCTTCCAAACTCTAGACGGACGCTCAGCCAATTGTGCTATCTGGTCGCCGACGATCGAGCCAGTCCAGTTCCGCTTCAAGTCTTATCAGAGACGTATAATGGTAGTATACTATTATATTGTATTATTAGCTCAGTGGGGAGAAAGTGAATGTGAATCTATGTGAATCTAGAATATATTGCCGAGTAAGTTGAAATATTATTTCATTTTCATGTTGGCTTAATTCCAAACTACCAAAAAGTATCAGCTGCAGGTCCAGAGGAATTAACTAGTTAAGTTCACGTTATAATTTAATTCTTTGTTCTACATAATTGTTTCTTCAACAGTATGACCACATTGACAGTGTCGGAAATGTATTAGATTTGCATGGAATAGATCATTATTTAAGGTACTATAGCTCTGTTTCTTAATCTGGTATGTAAAATATTAAGTTTTCTATCGCCAATCAGATAATAATTTGGAACATATAAATTTCGAAGATTTAGGAAAGAATTCTTTAAACGCTGTATGTGAAACTTTTTGTCTTATGTCTAGGTCTAATTGGTTCCAAAGTCGGATTGTAGAAGGGAAAAAGGGAGAGTTTGAAAGTTGAAGTCGGAAATTAGGCAGAGAATAATTATCGGCATTACGGAGGTTGTATTGTGAATTTGCTAAGACAAGAGGAGACAGCAGAGAAGTAAGATAGGTTGGCGTGAGATTATTGTGAATTTTGTAGAATAGTTGAAGTTTTCTCCTAGATCTTCTCTCAGATAAGGGTTCGAATCCACTTTCGGAGTATAAAGATGCTTTGATAGAATTAGAGGGAAAACCCGTGATTTTTCTAGTTTGTCTGCGTCACCGAGAGTACATCCATCCCATACCTCGCAACAGTATTCTAGTAATGGAAGAATATAGGATCTGTATATTTTATTAAGAGTTGGTCTATTTAATATATATTTTACTTTGCGCAGTACACTTACCTGTTTTGATTTTTTTGGCATATATCATCAATGTGGTTACTCCATTTACAATTATTATCCAGAACTACTCCGAGGTGTCTATGATTATCCACGAAGTCAACACTTACATTATCAAAATTAATATCTATAACATAATCAAGTTCTATGTTTGAAATAAGCAATGCTTTCGTTTTTACAGGGTTGAATTTAACTAACCATTTATCTGCCCAATTTTGGATTTTAACTAAGTCAATGTTAATTTTAGTTTCAATAGCCTGAGGAGATTCTTCCGAACATACTAAAAAGGTGTCATCTGCAAATAATTTGTATAGGCTTTCAAGATTATCAGAAATATCATTAATAAAGAGAATGAATAATAAAGGACCTAGAACCGAACCCTGTGGAACGCCAGCATAAGTATTTATCATATGTGATTTAGTATCACCAACAAATACCTGTTGTTGTCTATTACTAACATAATTATTTAACCAATTCAAAAATTTCCCCGTAATACCATAATTTTCTAGTTTTACTTTCAGTCCCTTGTGCCACACACGATCGAACGCTTTAGATATATCGCAAAAAACTAAACATGTAGGATGTTTTTTCTAGATTTTCACATAAAGTATGATAAATTTCAATTAATTGATGTACTGTAGAATGTCCAGGCTGGAAACCCGATTGGTATTTATATATCAATGAGTTTTCTAATAAATAATTATTTATATATTTTACAACTAGTCGTTCAAAAACTTTCCCAACAGTACTAAGTAATGAAATAGGTCTACAATTGGCAGAATCTTCTTTATCCCCTTTTTTAAATAACGGCATGACTAACGCTTGTTTCCAGGGTTTTGGAAAGATTCCAGTTTCCAAAGACCTAAATATTAGTGATAAAGGAAAAGCTACTGTATGTGCTGTATTTTTTAACATATTATGACTGATTGTGTCGCTACCAACAGATTTACTAATATTCAAAGATTTCAAAATGTTTATAATGTCATCTAACTGGAAAGGTATGTCAGATATGGTGGCGTCCGTCTTAAGCTCTACCTTAGGTACATCAATATTAGTATCGTCGATGGTAGAAATGGAAACAAAGTAATTATTTAAGATGTTGGATTTACCTAAATTTGTCATTTCAATATTTCCAGTTACATTTTTGAGAGAAGGTATATTATTACAGTTATCCGAAGTTTTAATTAATCTACGAACAATTTTCCTGAAATTTCTTGGATTCGAATTTGAATAACGATCTAAAATTCCATTTATATCTGCGTAGAAAAGTTCTTTTGTGTGTTGTTTTTAGATTATTTACATAATTACGTTGTTTGCGGAAATTATGTAAGTTATAAGGAGAACGATTGGATTTAAATAATTTTAGTAGTCGGTCTCTTTTCCTTATTTCTCGTCTTAAGTTAGAATTAAACCAAGGCTTGTCATTAAGTCGAATCGTAACAGTTTTTGTTGGTAACACTCCCCGGCTATGTCTAAAAATTTGGATGTAAAAAGTTCGCACATGTCATCCGGGGAGTGCATCCTCGAAAATAAGTCTGGCCAGTCTGTCGCGTCTAATTTAATGTTAAAAAGTTCATAATTTTCGTCGCCATAACATGTTATTTTCCTTATGTAAGCTCTTGAGATATTAGTACCAACAGTAAGTTCAACAGTCGTCGCTTGGTGGTCAGATATGTCATTTCCGATGTCAATTACGTCAGCAAAGCTAAAAGTGCATGTGTCGGATAGAAGAATTGGGTCAAGCAGGGTAGAGCACGTGCGTCCTATACGAGTCGGTTTGTCAATAACAATAGGCAATTATAGCTACATTGTATCACGGACTTAGATGCAGTGTTGGTTGGTTTAGCTGCGCTTCCCGCCAATCACACCACGGGTCTCGGCAAGCGCTGACCTCAACCTCATTAATATTAAAAAAGTGGCACGATGACTGCGAAAAACTTTGAAACACTGAAATGTCGTGTGTTTTTGGAGGAAACGGAGATCATGTCCGCGGAAGGAAAATACATTTTACGTGTGTGGTAGGTTTTAATTGTACGTAGGGTGGTCGGGTGGTGCAGTGGATAGCAGCGCACTTGCCTTTCACCAAGGCGGCCGGGGTTCGATTCCCCGATCGGACGTGAAAAGGTTGGGGTCACCTGCCCGCACTAAGACCCCCTACGCGCTAACATCCGGGCCAATAAGAGTGATTAAAATAAGTTGAAATAACTTGTTTCATAATTGTTGTAAAATAAATAAAGTTTAATTGTACGTAGCTAGAGTGAATTTCCTTTTAGCTCAGTAGTAGAGCGTCCGACTAGGAATCTGGAGATCGAGGATTCAATCCACAGTGGAAGCGCATTATTCTCTTTCCTGTTACACGTGCATATTGGAGGTTTTTATAAGGAAAAATATACAGTCATTCCAACGGTACTAAGCATTTTCCCGTAGATCAACTAGAAATGTTGTTTTTGATGCAAGAAAGTTAGGTGGGTCGACTTTTCGAAATCTTACGTCACAGTACCCGAATCGGGACAGTACCCACATCGGGACACTTGAAGGAAAAAGTCACAAGAAATTTGCATGCTGTGCAAAGAAGTGTTTTTAAATTGAAAATATTTATTTAAAGATGCTTATGTACCAATAAAACATTATATGAACTTTATTTACTGCCACTTATGGTTACAATCACAGTTTTGGTTCGTAAAACATGACGAAAATGTAACGTTCTCAATTGATGCGCCATGCGACGTTATTGATTTTCAGTTTTTGTATGTGACTTATCACAATCCTACTATTTCACAACTAATGGTAGTTTGGAAAAGAAATTCATTCAGAACGACCCTTGACTCTTAAATATTCAAAAGATATGCAATGTTCTGCTAAATACTTTTTTCATCTCCAAATATAAGCCAAAACTGGTAGGGGTGTCCCAATTTGTGTACAGCTACACCTGTTTCGCGATAACGTTATCATGACTATATTTCCGGTTCTATTTATAGAACCACATGCCGGAAATATCAACTTGTTAAAAAAATGAAAAGATAATTACATCTTTTTAGGAAAAGTGAACAAAAAATACTGGGATCGGTACTATGGTATGAATTACATCATTATTTCACTAGAAAGTATTCCGATTTGGGTACTGTGACGTAATGATAATTGGGGGTGTCATTTTTACCAAAAATCGATCTAAACCCCTAAAACATGTAAAATTACTCTGAACACCTTTGTTTGGGTCCAAATATAGCTGTAACAAATGGATCTAGGGCTACATTCGCGTATCACGGTTGAAACGGTACGTGTGGCGCAGAAATAAGAAGAGCTAAAAATGCACAGTTAGGGAGAATAACAAGAATATATTGACATTCTCTCACACGTCCACTGAATTACATCACGTATCTTAAAAACTACATGTGGCTTGACATTGTTTAAGAAAGAAATAACGCAAACTGGCAATAGGCAGCATTTTAATTTCGGCCAGGTACGTCTAGACCCCTCAATCTACACGTGCCGAATTTCCTGAGGTCAGCCTCGTTTCAGATCTGTACCTGTCGTTTTCTTTACAGGTTCAACCGTTTCAACCGGATACCCGAATGTACCCCTAGAGGCAATGGTTATTATCATATTCAGGTAATAGGATTGTGTCACCATTTCTCAGTAGAATTTCTTCAAATTTTATAGTTATATTGCTTTGAAGTAAAGAAAATGTTCTGCCACAAAAAATATAGGTTGTCAGAATTTTACGGATTTTAAATGGAAATTTATGTAAAAAGGAGTGAATTGTGAAAAAAAATTGAAAGACACAATTTGTTGCAAAATAATGTCAATACAAATGATACTGCCATAAATTAGTATTGCATTAATGTATATCAATTTAATAAATGCTGAAATTGTGTGATTTTCTTTTATTTGACATTTTATAATAAAACCATATACATACAGTAATTGCATGCAAGAGTTATCTTTCAAGAAAAACTTCACAGTAGTGAAATATGTAGCCGGTTTCCTGAAGTACAGAAAAATGGACACATGCGACTCATTGATAAGAGCGAAGCTCTCGGGTGCCGTATGATAGTTTTTTATGAATGTATTAAAATGGGTTATGTTATGATTCAAAAATTATACTATACTATCACGGAATTAGATTAAATGAGCTAAGTCCTTGATACCACGGAATTAGTCCGTGGTGATACTATTGAAACAAATGTACGAGCTTCGCTCTCTCCAGGCCATGCCTGAGTCAAATTTAAAAAAAAACTGAATTAATGCCTGGGTTGCTTTAAAATACTTTAATATTGAGAGAACACACTGATCTGTCAATAACAAACATACAATATACATCACAACTCTAGACTCATTAGAATATGCGGAAATTGTGATACTGTCTCCCTACATTGGATACTAGGGATGTACTTCCTATTTCTGTTTATTAATACACTCATTCGACCTTAAATATTCCGGTTGGAGATACCGGGTCTAAAATTAGTATCTTCTGAAATCAGGGTCGTGCAGAGCGTCCGCGGGATAAACGTGACAAGTGAAGTATCAAGTCGCTAGAACACATTTACTCACTAGTGAGGCGCCACTAGTAAAGTTAAATAGGTAGTAAAGTGTCATCTCGAACTTTGATTACAATGTTATGTTCGAGAAAGGATAGTGAATAGTTATGCATTCACACCAATGCAACACACCTGTCGTATGATTGAGTTGCCACAATTCCTCTTGGGTCTAGTTGCACGTGCTTTCAACTGTTCAAAGTCAGGAAACAGATCTGACTGTGTGAGTAATGCAACAAAACTAAAAACTATCTTGTAAACGATGCAGAGGCTTGTGCTGCGATCTCACCCAATAAGAAGTGTTACCTTATCCTTTTCTATTCAACACTACCTTTTTTACCACAATCTTCATGTAACCCCTAGATCTATAACCGGATTAGTTAATCTGTTTCAGTCACAGTGTCAGAAAATACATACCACAACGTCATATTGGAGAGGTAAGGAAAGGTCCAAGAGGAATAAAGATGAACAAATATCGTTCTTTAGAAAGAGCAACACATACGTTGCTGACCAGAAAGGTGAATCTGGTAATGACAGAAAATCAAACAAAAGAAAAAACGATTTTCCATATAGACATGATGAACTTCAAGGCAGCAGTGACTATCATACCAGGAGAGATCACCATAGAAATCACTCCATGAGAAAGGATAAATACAATGTTGGACAACACTATAATGAACAGAAAGAAGCTGTACAATCACCTGAAATTCAAGACACTAATGAATAGGATGATAATTTTGGGAACCTGTCAAGAGATGTTAAGGGGACTCTTCCAAAATGGCTACAGGATGAAAAGTAGGTACCGGCTGTGACAACAGTTTTCAGAAAAAAGTGACAAAGTACAGTCTTGCACAACAGGATAAAATCTCACTGTTAAGTTATCTTGGAGACCCAGGAGCTAGAGATGATCGATTGCCTGGATTGTATAGATTTCAGATGTCCCTGGTTAGAATCCTGGTATAGTTGGTAGTGATTCCATATTTTCAATCCTTTTACCGAAGTCTGTTCGAACATTACAGAATAACAAAACCTAGGTTGTAAAGAGTACTTTCTTTGCGGGCAAAGACTTTGAAAAAAAATGGAATACTTTTATCAGATCTAGACTGGTATTCTTGATGGTGATCAGCTTCTCTGTTCATTCAGATTTTGGATTTCCCATTATTAAAGTTCTAGTTTGGCCATTGCATTTTTCACTACTGTTACATCATCAATTCTAAAAGACACTTAGTATGTTTCCCTAGGAATCAGTAATAATCCTTTAGTGACCCTTACCTGGCATGTACTGTCCCTTAATGACACCTGATACTGACTGTTCTGAGGAAAACCCAACATTTTGTGCTATATTCGGGCACCTGGTACTAGTAGTTCATCAAGAATGGCAGATATTTTGTGTTACATAAAAACACCGGATACATGTACCGGTTGTTACTTTACAAAAACCAATACTTATAGATACATCACTGATTTGTACTATTCCATACATTATATACATGTAACTTATGCTTTTCCTCTGGGAACCCAATAGTTGGATCATGTTTGCTTGGGGAAAACTTATATCAAGTGGGAAGGGGAATTAATTACTGGTAGCCTGAGGGAATATCTTTCGTCAATCTAATTAAAATTATATCTTCACATCGCTCCCGTTTACTGATATGTCGCGTTGAAGATCTAACAACATCCCGTAGAGGGTCATGTTCAGGCGACCTTTGCATTAACCAATCAGATGAGAGCTTACGCATTTCTGTAAGTGATGATGTAATGATTTCGGAACACACTTGCTATGATAAAAGACCGAGAGGTGTCAAATGAGCATCGAAAATGGCGGCGCCCATGACACCACGCCGTGTCTATCTACAAGACAACGTTTGTACAATTTGTGGATTTTGCTTTGAAATAAGAGAGACTTCCTCTTCTGGTGATGTTGTCGTTTAAAAGTTTAACAACCTGAAACTAAAATTAACCAATGACAGGCTTCGCAATATTCAAACTATCACTGGACCAGACGAAAAAGTGGATTTTGGGCTACGAGGTGTCTGCATTAAATGCTACAGGTCCTGCTTTCTGATTGGTTTTAAAAAAGAGTTATGTTGCGTTTTGATTGGCTTGTTATAAATATGATAATGCATTCATGTTGACCTCTGACGTGACCCTCTACGGGATGTTGTTAGATCTTCAACGCGACATATCAGTAAACGGGAGCGATGTGAAGATATAATTTTAATTAGATTGATCTTTCGTCAATAACTAGCTAAAAATAAATGTTTATAGTAATACAGTAAACTTGGTAGGTCAGTTTGCCTATCATTATGTTCATCATCTCCACCATCTTCTAGGGCCTAACTTATAAATGTAGCATAGGAATATTTAGTTTTTAAACCTAAATACTATAAATAAATGTCTGATATTACAGGAAACCTGACTGTATTTAGTAAAATTTTGGAATTGAGTATGGATCATAGCTTTAAATTTATTCCATTACAGCCTTGGTGAATCTTATGAGATGGAAAAGCCTCATCGCCCACTCTTAGTGGAAAATCGACGACACAACCAGGACTGGTACTTCAAAAAGATTGTGAAGATGGGAAAGGAAGGAAAGGTATTTGATAGATTAATTAGCCAGATAAAGGTAAAAGAAAAAAAGTCATTCCTTGAACAATTCTTACCATATATGTATTTGTTATTTTTATACATGTTTCTGAATACAAACAGAATATTGATTGATGACTGATTTGGATTTTTTGCGGACATTTTGGAACCCCGAGTTATTTATTCCACCATAGTATACATGGTACATGTATATGTCTATGTTATGAAAATTGATGATGATAATCCAGTAACTTTAATAAGGCTGTTAACAAACATTTAACATGTACATGTGATGCCTGTGTCTTTATTTCACAACTAGCTGTACATTTTTATCAATTTTTCTATAACTGGATGATATATTGTAAGGATACAAGACATGATAAGGACAAAGAAGCATGACCCTTCACCTTGAGCAAGTTGAGCAAAGTTTTTGTATGGCTGGTGAAAGTCAGTTACTTGGCACAGCTCTCCTTGATGGGAGACCCTATCTCCTACTTTGGGCCTGAACACCTCACAAGCTTCACAAGGTTTAGAAACCCACAATAATGTTAACTAGACCATTCCAATTTCATCCTGAAGATGACAGTAGAGAATATGCCACATTGACACATGATTCCAGTGTCACTGTCAAACACAATATCATGCAGAATATATAACAGAGTGTGTCTGTCTATCTGACAAACATATGTATGCTAAAGAAAATTATTTTTGTGTTTGTTTAAATCTTTGAAGATATTCATATCGCACTGTGACACCCTGTAACACCTTTCTGTTATGTGTCGGATACAATCTAGTACTTCCCAATGGTGAGTCTGTGGGTGGACTTTTCCAGCTTCTGAACTGATCTGATACTTTTTCATGCCTGCATGAACGACATTAGGAGTCAGGACATGATAGTATTGTAAATGAGAAGACTTAGAGCATCAATACATTAACATTTATTTAAATGTATATACTTTTAAATGACAAGCAAGTAAGTAATAACGTACAGATCTGTATATGTTGTGTTGTATATAGATTTAAGACATACCTGTATACGTACTGTATAATGTGTTAATATATTTAATACTTATCACTTCGTTATATAATTGAAAGGTGCTGGAGGCCATTGCTGTCCTAGATGACTGGATGTTAGTTAGAGACCGGGTCATGCCCAATGAAGATATTTATACAGCCATCATAGGTATCATTGGACGTACCGGAAATGCATCCCTGGCATTTGCACACTTCAAAAAGGTCAGTAAGGCATAAGGAACACAAGTTAAGTGACATAAGGATCACAAAGTTAAGTGACATAAGGATCACAAAGTTAAGTGACATGAGGATCACAAAGTTAGGTGAGACATAAAGATCACAAAGTAAAGTGACATAAGGATCACAAAGTTAAGTGACATAAGGATCACAAAGTTAAGTGACATGAGGATCACAAAGTTAGGTGAGACAATGATCATAAAGTTAAGTGAGACATAAGGATCACAAAGTTAAGTAACATAAGGATTATAAAGTTAAGTGAGACATAATGATCAGAAGTAAAGTGAGACATATGAACCACAAAGTTATGTGAGACATAAGGATCACAAAGATTTTGGAGACACAATGATCACAAAGTTAAATGAGACATCAGGATAATAAGGATCATAAAGTTAAATGAGACATAAGGATAATAAGGATCATAAAGTTAAGTGAGACATAAGGATCACAACTTTCAGTAACATAAGGATCATACAGTTAAGTGAGACATAAGAATCACAAAGTTAAGTGAGAAATAAGGATCACAAAGTTAAGTGATACATAAAGGTCACAAAGTTATGTGATACATAAGGATCACAACTTTTAGTAACATAAGGATCATACAGTTAAGTGAGACATAAGGATCACAAAGTTAAGTGATACATAAAGGTCACAAAGTTATGTGATACATAAGAATCACAACTTTTAGTAACATAAGGATCATACAGTTAAGTGAGAAATAAGGATCACAAAGTTAAGTGATACATAAAGGTCACGAAGTTATGTGATACATAAGTTTCATGGTATATTTGGTTGTTGGGCATGAGAGGGGAACACTGTCATGCTTTTAGTTTTACCTTTGGGTTTTGCCCCATCCCTGGAGACGTATTTGCAATATTAGTTATAATTAGAATACTCTTATCTAAGCTTTCTCTACCATAAATTTGAAGAAGAAAATGTATTCTACATTCTTATTTTTCAGATGAGAGAATATGGTCTGAAGCCAAATGAAGCGACATTTACAGCTCTCTTTAACGCTTGTTCAAATTGTCCTGATCAGGAAATTGCCAAAAAGAAAGGAAACTATCTTCGAAATTATATGCGGCGAACCGAGGTGATACCGAACATCATCACCTATAATGCCATCATAAAGATGTTTGGGAGATTTGGAGACCTACCTAATGCTTTCCTCGTAGCAGATGAAGCCTTGTCAAATAGACGTAGAGCAGACTCTTTCTTCTACGGCAGCCTTTTGTCTGCAGCAATCAGTGACAAGGAAGAAGGACTTCTTTATGCCATTGAAGTAAAAATCTGTCCAATGGTATCCCTGTTTATGTGGATATTGTGCTCGTATACTAGACATGTTTTGGTCACCTCAGATATAGTTTTGTTTGACCTGTTTTAATTGCCTTTTGTCCATCATTGTCCATAAACATTTTATCTTCTTCTCAAAAACTGCTGAAACAATTTCAATAAAAACTTAGGAGGGAGATTTCATGTCCAGAAATTAGCCAAACATGTTGATTATATGGCTTCTACCCCAAGGGTCCTGAGGGATAGGGGCAAAAGGGGTTGAATGAGCTGAAAATTTGACCAATTTTCTCCATACCCAAACATTCTGGAATCAAACACTCTTCATCAATGAAAATATCCTGAAGGACTTTATCAAGTTGTTTCTGTGTTATGTATTCCGTCCTGGAAGAGGGGATAATAATTTTACTAAATATGTACCCTCTCCCCTGCTATTCAAACTAGAGGTATTATGTCTGTGTTCCATCTGTCCAATCCTTCTGTCAGTCCTACTCTTTGTCATCATATTAATTGCTGTAATTTGAAAACAAATTCATTTTCCCCCTTAAATTATTATTAAAATTGATAATTAGTTGTGAAACGCCGTTACAATGTGATGCCTTAAAAGAATGTCCACACTTAAATCCCTATTCAATTCACCAAGCTCCCTACATTGTGTGTTACAGTCATCACATGAAGACATGGAATGTAATTGTACCTTGCTTTTTTATACATGAATATTACCATGTCGTGTCACAACATCAACAAACTTACAACTCTGGTAACTGTTCAGGCACTCAGACCTCTTGTTGTGAACGCCGTGCTAGACTTAATGTGGAGGATGTATAGACTAATGTAAACAGCTGTGTACACCATACACTGTATACTACACAGGTTTGTGACTTAGCGGTCTGAAGCTGCATGTTTTGTGATTTAGCTGCCTATAATTGTATGATTTGTGAATTACCCAACAAATTTGCATACTAGTGGATCAACAATGTCCCTTTAAGTAATTGGTGCATGGAATTCTATGTGATATATGACTTTGCCATCTTTAAAAAGTTATTTACACTACTGTTTGTGATTTGTGACTTTGCTTTCAGTAAATAGATATAGATACCTCAGGTATACTGTACATGATAATGTGTTGAAATACTAAGGTTAAATATTTCACAGCAAATAATAACTTCAACAATACTAAAAAAGATGATTTTTAATCATAATAAATGGGTATTTATTATGAACAAATAAATATTCAGGGCAAGTTAGAACAAGAGGCCCAATGGGCCTGAATCACTTAATCTCATACTTGTAATCTTAAAAGTGGACTAATATACAGCTACAGGCAAAATATCTGTGTTCGACCCATTTGAATCTATTAAATGATTTAAACATATGACGCCTGTGACCTTGAAAGTTTTAGTCTTCCGTCCCGGCATACTTCTGGCTAAATATCATTACCCTAGACCTTTTGAATATTCAGAACAAGTCATTTAAAGATTTAAACATATTTGATCCCTGTGACCTTGAATATGAGCAAAGGTCATTCATTTGAACAAACTTGGTAACCCTTTATCCCAGCATGTTACTGGCCAAATATTATTATTTAAAGGTTTTAAACATATTTGACCCCTGTGACCTTGAAAATAGGTGAAGGTCATTTATTTGAACAAATTTGGTAGCCCTTTATCCCAGTTTGTTTCTGGCCAAATATCATCACCCTAGGCCTTTCGGTTATTGAGAAGTTGTTTAAAGTAAAATATTGACGCTGGCCGGACGCCGCACCACGGCATAAGCTAGCTCACTTGGCACTTTGTGTATTCTACTGTCTGTTTGGCCTGGAGTTGTTTACATGACATACACAACTGTAGTTCTACTGTCTGTTTGGCCTGGAGTTGTTTACATGACACACACAACTGTAGTTCTACTGTCTGTTTGGCCTGGAGTTGTTTGCATGACACACACAACTGTTGTTCTACTGTCTGTTTGGCCTGGAGTTGTTAACATGACACACACAACTGTAGTTCTACTGTCTGTTTGGCCTGGAGTTGTTTACATGACACACACAACTGTAGTTCTACTGTCTGTTTGGCCTGGAGTTGTT